TTTTATTATCCTCGCATTAGCATTATTAGCATTAGCATTAGCCCAGCGCACAAATGCAGAGAGACTAACTTATGGCAACACAAAATAAAACATGGGAGCGGTAGAGATGAGGAGGTGTCGGTGTTCTGGCGATTTACTCGGAAGGCTTCTACTGAAGTCCCGGGGACTTCCGGCCGGGGACTTCGGGTAGCAGTATACGCCGTGAAGTTGTTTGCGGCCTGCCAGTAAACCCAAAGCAGAAGAAGAAGAAGAAGAAGAAGAAGAAGAAGAAGTGACGTCAGCGGCTTAATTTGCCTTATCCTTCCCCAGGAACGTATTCAAGTGTGAACACGATCTGTACTTAGTTCATTAAAGAGTTCTCATGAACTAAGTTCTCATTAACCTTTGTGGGAAAAGTACTGCGGTGTGAATGTGCCTAATGGTACTTGGTTGCCATACGAGATAACATTGGTTGGAGGTTGCCACCTTTCCCAGAAATAAACTTCTTGCAGTGGTTACAGACCCCACCATTCAGACTGGCAGTCATATGCAGCCACACTTTAGATTTTCTAAAGTGACTCGTTTGCGGAGTTTCACGGCGAAGTTTAAGGATATTACACCTCACTTTTATAAAAAAAAAACTGGATCTGATTTCTGTACGGTATACCGTAGCCGCCAGTAACCGGTATTTCGGTAATACCGGGAACCGGTATGCACCCCTACATGCAAGGCAATGTGGCAGCCTAGGAAATACATTTCAATGGATTAAGATGCGAGATGATTACAAAATAAAAATTGTAAATTAAAAAAAGGTTTTTATTATTATTAATAATAACGTGTGAATAGACATTTTTCAGGAGCGGACTGGCCATCTGTATAATTTCCCCGCAACGAGGCTCCACCCGTTGACAATCCACTAGCGCAGTGTTTCTCACACTTTTTGATACCAAGGACACTTAACCAATGAAAAAACACTCACGGACCACCTAACTTCACAAATATCCAAAAACAATAGGCCTTCTTTCCACTCCAACAGTACATAACAGCCTAATAATGACAGCTTAACCTTCTCTGTATCGCCTCGTTCACACAATAAATCAACAATACAAATACAGATCATAAGCATTTTGTTGAAATGCAAATTTAAAATGCTCTCAGGTTTTAAACCTCTTATGAAATGTAGACTACATTTATTACGGAGTTTATGTCAGAGACAACAGACTACTTAGAGATATGCAAAACACACCGCATGTAGTACGACACAAACCTCCGCTGTTTTCAAAACAAAATACAGTAAAACTATGGTCGCAGGCCCAAGTTTAACTCTCTGAGGCCTGCATGGTCTGCCTACAAAACAAAAATAAACAACGTTTATGCAGCCCCAACAACAGCCTCTGATCATCAACAGACTTCATGCAATGCTTCATCGGATGCATATATTAGATAATTATCTCTATCTCACTCCTAACCAGTGTTGGGACTAACGCGTTACAATTAACGCGTTACTGTAACGCCGTTATTTTTGGCAGTAACTAGTACTCTAACGCATTACTTTTTAAATTCAGTAACTCAGTTACCGTTACTACATGGTGCGTTACTCCGTTACTGCGTTAGTTTTTTTATATAGTCAACAGCCAGGCGAACAGAGATGAGAACTGTACTTAAGTACAGTACTTGAGTAAATGTACTTAGATACTTCCTGTGTCACATGCGGAGATGGGCTGTGGGCGTGTTTGTGTTGTTTACTAACAAGACTATCATGGCAGCGGCGGAGCTCAAGTCTAGTTTCTCCACCTATTCTCACTATTTCACTTTTGTCGAGCACAAAGAAAAGAACGTTTTAGTTAAATGTAAGTTGTGTCTTGGCGGGTCAAAGATCCTATCTACTGCCCAAACCAGTAATTCAAATCTCTTAAAACATCTGCAAAAACAACATGCTACGAAGCTAGTAGCTAAGACCACAGAGACTCAGCCGACGCCACTCCACCTCCACCTACGTAAGCAACAGCGGCTGGATTTTAACCAAGGGACTGCTAGCCAGGGAAAAGTCGATAAAGCCATTGCACAGTATGTTGTAGAACACATGCAGGGTATTGCTACAGTGGAGTCACCCGCTTTCAGGGAGCTAGTTAGCATGATAGCATGTCCGGGCGGCATATGGGACGGAAAACTTTTTCCAACTACCTGGAGAAAGAATATACAAAAATGGAAAGCCAGCTAATATCGATGCAATCCAGATTGCATATAATGCATGTCAAGTTGATCAACAGATTGTATTATTCTCCAATGCAATAACAGTACTGAAATGAAGGCTATAAGGGCATTAATGGGAGCCCTTTTTATCAGTAACGAAAACGTTACTTTTCACAATAACGCATTACTTTTGGGTGTAAGTAACTAGTAAAGTAACTGAGTTACTTTTGACATGAAGTAACTAGTAATGGTAACTAGTTACTGGTTTTCAGTAACTAGCACAACACTGCTCCTAACACATCTAAATCTACTTTCAGCATGGATAAATGTTTATAAAATACATCCATTGTTTGTTCTATATGCTTCTTGAAATCCAAAAAAACACATAGTTTTTCTAGAACAGATTACAAATCGCCTGAAAATCGTACAAACAAGTGGCAACATGTTTGACGAAGGTGTTGCGCTGGGCTATATCATGCAATCGAAACTTAAGCTCGCTCCACTGCGGAGATATTCCCGCGAGAGTGCGGAAAGCTTAAATGAATTTGGCAGGGGTCGCCAGTCACTGGCACCGTTATTTTGGGGGTCGCGGGCTGAAAAGTTTGGTAACCCCCGGATGGTAGCCACAAAAGCCAAAATTGGAATGAGGCAGTACATGAAGGCCAAGCCAACTAAGTGGGGTGTGAAGCTGTTTGTGTTAGCAGACTCCAGCAATGGGTATACCATCGATTTTTCCATCTATACTGGAAAGAGCCGCTTCATTTCAGGGCAGGGTCTCTCCTATGATGTTGTCAGTGACCTAATTGATAATTCCTACTTGGGGAGAGGTTACCATATTTTTGTAGACAATTTCTACACCAGCCCAAAACTTTTTACTGACCTATTTGTAAGGGGTTTTGTGGCATGTGGTTCCGCGACAATCGTAAGAACGTGCCCAAATCCAAATTGAATGTGCTAACCTCAAAGAGCCCCAGTGGCTCAATCCGATGGCTCAGAGAGAAGGAGCTTTTGTATGTGAAGTGGATGGATACGAGAGAGGTGTCAGTGTGCTCTACAATACACCAAGCCTTCAATGGAGACACTGTCACCAGGAACGTGTATGCTAAGGAAACGGGGAAATGGCAAAAAGAAAACATCATGGCACTTCCGTTGTGTGGTTGAATATAATAAATACATGGGTGGGGTGGACTTGTCTGACCAGCTCATCCAATACTATTCAGTACACAAGAGGTCCAACAGGTGGTACAGGACACAGCTATATTCTGCATAAGGAGATGTGTCTGTCCTCAGGGTCAGTGGCCATGTCCCACGCCCAGTTCATGGAGGAGCTGTCTGCAGTCCCAATTGGCAGCTTTGTGCCACCCAGAGGGGCACAGTGCTTGCCAGAGAGTCAATGTCCTGTGCAGACGAGGAGGAGGAGGAAGAGGGAGTTGACTCATTTGCGAGACGGAGGTCAGGAGACACAGCAACAAAAGGTTGGTGAAAATGTGTGCTCTGCAAAAAACGTTCCATCTGGAAATGTGCGCGGTGTGATGTGACACTGTGTCTTGTGGCTCACAGAAATTGCTTCAGCAAGTGGCATAGCAGCCGCACGTAAAACCTTAAGACTTTCGATTGACTGAATCAAGTCTGATTGTAATTTAATGTAAATAGTTTTAAAAAATGTTGATACATTTCCTTTGCTCTTTGTATATTTTTCTAATATGTTGTTGTATTTTGAAGATCATTTGCTCTTTGTACATTTGCACTTACTATATATTTCTAGCTCTTTGTTTGTAGTTTGAAGATCATTTGCACTTTCTATATATATTTATATTACTTTGTTTATAGTTTGAGGATAATTTGCACTTTCTATATATTTCTAATACTTTGTTTATAGTTTCAAGATAATTTGCACTTTGTTCATTTGCACTTTGTATCTCCAGCACTTGGAATTTGTTTCACTGTTTGTGTTTGTATTTAAATGTTCAAATGAGAATACATTTCTCTGAAACAAGTTATTTGTGTTGCAATGTCATCTGTTATGGTTTAATATTTTTACTCTCTCAACCTTATTTTGACAGAACAAACATGATCAGAAATTTAAATATGGAAATACATTTTGTTTTTATTATTCCATATTATATTTCAGTGAAAAACACCTAGGATAATATTGTAATAAATGGCTGTAACTTGCTCAGGGAACATAATATGCAGATGCAATTTAATTTGGAAGCCTTAAACATCTAAATGCAGCTTTATACATAATAAAAAAGAAAATTCCTATGTATAAACAGTAAAAAAACACAACATTTGTACTGGCGTTTTTGAAAAGTGCTGGTAAATTCAGCCATTATCACACAAAGCTAAGGTACAATTTGGACTTTAAATTAACCAAATTTGAACTTGAGGTTCTCCTGAATCAAATGAGGTAAGGAACTTGATGCTGACTGCTAGAAAAGGTTAGAAAAGGTTAGGAGAAACAAATAAATACAGGAGAGTCAGGCAGGCGAAAATTCTGTCTAGGTCTTTAACCTGTCCCCTGATTGTGTGTTGAATTTGCACTATCCTAATTTTAATGCACAATTTCATTGTTGTACCTTTAATCTACATGTATTTTTTTTACGTCTACTCTATGCTATTTTTTGCTTGTTTTTATGTATTTTACTGGTAACTGTATTCTGTGTGATACATTTTCTGTGAAATGTCTATGTGAAGCACTTTGGACTGCACTCGTTGTATGAAAGGAGCTATACAAATAAAGATTATTATTATTATTACAGCTGAACATTAGGCAGACAGTTGCGAGAATAGTATATCTAATGATGTAACAGAGTTTAATACCATACCTGTGGTAGCTGAGGGGACTGTCTCCCAATCAGGCTCCACTTCCCGCCTCGTATCCTGTAGCCACTTACCACTTTACCTGTAACACATCAGCCAGGTTACTACGGATACTGATTCAAGTTACTTTGAAATAGATTTATGAATAGCCTGGGATGACTCACCGAGGTGGTGTGTGTGGGTCCTGAAGGCAAACGGGTAGATTGGATATGAACTGTAGTCACAGGCCATGTCTGCATTTGTTTCTAAAAAATAAAAAGGGATGTCAAGGCCCATTCTGTTAACACCTTACAGCCCAATGTATGTCACTTTGTTAGATTTGTACATTCTTATTTTATCTTACTTTTTATTTTTCTATTAGTAACTTCTTAAGCTGCACCCTCTCCAAACATGCGTAGAGACAGATGTACTTGTTTTATTTGACGTTAAATTGCTGCTATTTTGCCTCTACCCCTAACAATAACCCCATTAGTCTTCATCCTGTTTTCACCATGAACCTGACTCTTCATCATGAGCCTGAGTTTTCACCATGAGCCTGAGTCTTCATCATGTCTTCACCATGAGCCTGAGTCTACATCATGAGCCTGAGTCTGAGTCTTCACCATGAGCCTGAGTCTTCATCATGTCTTCACCATGAGCCTGAGTCTACATCATGAGCCTGAGTCTGAGTCTTCACCATGAGCCTGAGTCTTCATCATGTCTTCACCATGAGCCTGAGTCTTCATCATGAGCCTGAGTCTGAGTCTTCATCATGAGCCTGAGTCTGAGTCTTCATCATGAGCCTGAGTCTGCATCGTGTCTTCATCATGAGCCTGAGTCTTCATCATGTCTTCACCATGAGCCTGAGTCTTCATCATGAGCCTGAGTCTTCATCCTGTCTTCACCATGAGCCTGAGTCTTCATCATGTCTTCATCATAAGCCTGAGTCTTCATCATGTCTTCACCATGAGCCTGAGTCTTCACCATGAGCCTGAGTCTTCATCACGAGCCTGAGTCTTCATCATGTCTTCACCATGAGCCTGAGTCTTCATCATGATCCTGAGTCTTCATCCTTTATTCACCATGAGCCTGAGTCTTCATCATGTCTTCATCATGAGCCTGAGTCTACATCATGTATTCATCATGAGCCTGAGTCTTCATCATGTCTTCATCATGAGCCTGAGTCTTCACCATGAGCCTCAGTCTTCATCATCAGCCTGAGTCTTCATCATGTCTTCATCATGAGCCTGAGTCTTCATCATGTCTTCATCATGAGCCTGAGTCTTCATCATGTCTTCACCATGAGTCTGAGTCTTCATCATGTCTTCACCATGAGCCTGAGTCTTCATCATGTCTTCACCATGAGCCTGAGTCTTCATCATGTCTTCATCATGAGCCTGAGTCTTCATCATGTCTTCATCCTGAGCCTGCACCTTCATCATGTCTTCACCATGAGCCTTCATCATGAGCCTGAGTCTTCATCATGTCTTCATCCTGAGCCTGAGTCTTCATCATGTCTTCATACTGAGCCTGAGTCTTCATCATGAGTTCACCATGAGCCTGAGTCTTCATCATGTCTTCATCATGAGCCTGAGTCTTCATCATGTCTTCACCATGGGCCTGAGGTTTCAGCATGAGCCTGAGTCTTCATCATGTCTTCATCCTGAGCCTGAGTCTTCATCATGTCTTCACCATGAGCCTGAGACTTCATCATGAGCCTGAGTCTTCATCATGTCTTCATCCTGAGCCTGAGTCTTCATCATGTCTTCATCATGAGCCTGAGTCTTCATCATGTCTTCATCCTGAGCCTGAGTCTTCATCATGAGCCTGAGTCTTCATCATGTCTTCATCATGAGCCTGAGTCTACTTCATGTCTTCATCATGAGCCTGAGTCTTCATCATGTCTTCACCATGAGCCTGAGTCTTCATCATGTCTTCATCATGAGCCTGAGTCTTCATCATGTCTTCATCATGAGCCTGAGTCTTCATCATGTCTTCATCATGAGCCTGAGTCTACATCATTTCTTCATCATGAGCCTGAGTCTTCATCATGTCTTCACAATGAGCCTGAGTCTTCATCATGAGTCTGAGTCTTCATCATGTCTTCATCATGAGCCTGAGTCTTCATCATGTCTTCACCATGAGCCTGAGTCTTCATCATGTCTTCATCCTGAGCCTGAGTCTTCATCATGTCTTCACCATGAGCCTGAGTCTTCATCATGTCTTCATCATGAGCCTGAGTCTACATCATGTATTCATCATGAGCCTGAGTCTTCATCATGTCTTCATCATGAGCCTGAGTCTTCACCATGAGCCTCAGTCTTCATCATCAGCCTGAGTCTTCATCATGTCTTCATCATGAGCCTGAGTCTTCATCATGTCTTCATCATGAGCCTGAGTCTTCATCATGTCTTCACCATGAGTCTGAGTCTTCATCATGTCTTCACCATGAGCCTGAGTCTTCATCATGAGCCTGAGTCTTCATCATGTCTTCACCATGAGCCTGAGTCTTCATCATGTCTTCATCATGAGCCTGAGTCTTCATCATGTCTTCATCCTGAGCCTGCACCTTCATCATGTCTTCACCATGAGCCTTCATCATGAGCCTGAGTCTTCATCATGTCTTCATCCTGAGCCTGAGTCTTCATCATGTCTTCATACTGAGCCTGAGTCTTCATCATGAGTTCACCATGAGCCTGAGTCTTCATCATGTCTTCATCATGAGCCTGAGTCTTCATCATGTCTTCACCATGGGCCTGAGGTTTCAGCATGAGCCTGAGTCTTCATCATGTCTTCATCCTGAGCCTGAGTCTTCATCATGTCTTCACCATGAGCCTGAGTCTTCATCATGAGCCTGAGTCTTCATCATGTCTTCATCCTGAGCCTGAGTCTTCATCATGTCTTCATCATGAGCCTGAGTCTTCATCATGTCTTCATCCTGAGCCTGAGTCTTCATCATGAGCCTGAGTCTTCATCATGTCTTCATCATGAGCCTGAGTCTACTTCATGTCTTCATCATGAGCCTGAGTCTTCATCATGTCTTCACCATGAGCCTGAGTCTTCATCATGTCTTCATCATGAGCCTGAGTCTTCATCATGTCTTCATCATGAGCCTGAGTCTTCATCATGTCTTCATCATGAGCCTGAGTCTACATCATTTCTTCATCATGAGCCTGAGTCTTCATCATGTCTTCACAATGAGCCTGAGTCTTCATCATGAGTCTGAGTCTTCATCATGTCTTCATCATGAGCCTGAGTCTTCATCATGTCTTCACCATGAGCCTGAGTCTTCATCATGTCTTCATCCTGAGCCTGAGTCTTCATCATGTCTTCACCATGAGCCTGAGTCTTCATCATGAGCCTGAGTCTTCATCATGTCTTCATCCTGAGCCTGAGTCTTCATCATGTCTTCATCATGAGTCTGAGTCTTCATCATGTCTTCACCATGAGCCTGAGTCTTCATCATGTCTTCATCCTGAGCCTGAGTCTTCATCATGTCTTCACCATGAGCCTGAGTCTTCATCATGAGCCTGAGTCTTCATCATGTCTTCATCCTGAGCCTGAGTCTTCATCATGTCTTCATCATGAGTCTGAGTCTTCATCATGTCTTCATCATGAGCCTGAGTCTTCATCATGTCTCTGTGCTGTTGAGGACATCCTGCCCTTTCCTGTATATAAGACGCTGTGTCATAGTGGCTTCATCGACTTTTATTACGCATTTCTACTTATTTTGTTTTATTCTAAAATGGTGCAACTGTCACAAAACCAAATGTTCCCCCAGGATTAAATAAATATTGTAGTTGTGATAATTCCTTTTGGTAATCTATTGATTCAAACGTCTGAATGTGGATCATTCAGATTCAGATTCAACTTTATTGTCATTACATAGTACATGTACTAGTGACGAAATGTAAGTTAGGCATCTGACCAGAAGTGCAAAATAGCAGTGCAAGAGTCTACATAATAAGAATAATTATAAATAGAATAATTATAAACAGAATACTTATAAATAGGCTATAAACAGATGAATAAGTACAGTATAAACGGTATCATGTGGACTGACGCGCTGACAAAATTATCTTGTTAGTTATATGCAGTAGGGATCAGACAAAGCGTATGATTGGATGAAGGAGCCACTGACTGGTCATTCAATGATGCAGGCACACATCTTTGTGTAATGGAGGGCTGAGAGGCTTTAAACTGTTTACCTCCCTGGCAATGAAATGGGATGAATTACAGCACAAAAAATGCAATATAAAAAAAGGCATTGGAGTGATGGACTCCAGCTTTTGTTTTGACAAAGTGAATCAGACAGACGTCTTATAATGGAAGCTACATCGATAAGTATTCAGATTTGACAGGACTTCCCATTCTGTGCACTGTTCTTTGGGGTTTGCTTGCTGCTATTAGTACAGCTGTTGATTATTATGAAAGGGGAGATAGAGACGGGACCATGTGTTACTCCGAGTTCACTGCACTGAATGCCTTCCTTCTTTTATTTTATTTTTCTCTATGCTAGAAAGGAAGGGAGGAAAAGGTAATGTGGAACAAGGAAGAAATGTGGAACAAGGAAGAAATGAAAGAAGGAAGTAAGAAGTAAGGATTCAAAAAACAAAGGAGGGAAGGAAGAGAGCAAAGAAAAAAGGAGGAAGAAATGAAGGATATAAGAAAGCACAAACTGATGACAGAAGGAATGATGGAAGAAGGTAAAGGGGGTAAAAAGAAGGAATGGATGTGAGGAAGGAGAGAAGAAGCAAAAGAGGAAAGACAGATGGAAGAAAATAAGGGATATAAGGTGGAAGAAATAAAAGCAAGGAATAAAGGAGGACGGAAGGTAAGGAGGGCGAAAGGAAAGATAGAAGAATGAAGGAAAGTTAGAATAAAGAAAAGAAGAAAATAAAGGAAGAAGGAAATTGAAAGGAAGGAAGCAAAAGTATATGAAAGGAGGAAATTAAGAAAGACACAACAAAAGGAAGAAAGATAAAAGGAAGGAAGCTAGGATGGATGGAGGAGGAAGGAAGGAACAACAGAAGGTATGAATAGAAATGTGTAAAATGGAAGGTAAGGAAAATAAATTAAAAAAGATTGAAGGAAGAAAGACATTTTGGAATGAAGCACAGAAAAAAGAGAAAGGACAGATAGGGAAGGAAGTAATCAAAGTAGGAATCAGAATCGGTTTTATTACCAAGTAGGTTTACAAGGAATCTGCTTTGGTATATGTGGTGCATACAAAGACACAGAAAAAAGAAAACATAGCAAAACTAAATTAAATACAAAATAGTACTGTTATGACAGCTATTAAGACAAAACTATTTTAAGACTTTTATAACAAATGATCAATACTTACACAAATACTATATACTGTATTTAAAGTGAAGGAAGCAATTCAATAAGTACAGAAGGAAGGAAGGGAGGAAGGAAGTATAGAAAGAAGATAAATTAATATTTGCCGTGATTTATTTTTGGATATGCATTTGAATAATCTGTATGTGTTTGTCAGTGCCATCCTGTGGTGGTCAAAATGGTAGAAGGCTGTAGGGAATGAAGCCTTCCTGAATGCTTTTGGATTCCTTTGTGGAACAATAAAGCCAAGAGGTAGGAGTAAAAACACACTTTACACAGTCTTTGTGGCCTCCGAGTTTCAGCGTTTCCTGAAGCTAAATATGACATTATCGACCACCATATGGTTGGACTTAATTGTAAACTTTGAGAAAAAATGCAACAAACATACCTTTTTTTCCTGGAAGGATAACTGTGTCCACAGACATAAGCAAGTATATGCCAGCGATGAACGGCTGCCTGTGAGGAGGCACAGAGAGTCAGTCAGAGAACAGGAAGTGCGTATCACAGTTTAATACACAACTTAGTTGAATACTTGATTCTGATTTGTCAATTTGGACATTTCAGAGGTTATGAATACTCAATAACCCACTGCTGCCAAGCAAAATAATGACCGTCGCAGACATGAAGTAAGGCCGCCTTTAATTTCATTTTTTTATTTCCATCTTTATTTTGAACAGATTAAAAAACAAATGTAAAACAGAATAGCGTATTGGTCAACACAGTCTCACTCCCTGCGCGTCAAAGAACGACGCTTGGTCAGGGTCCTTTGGCGTCCATTTCTGACACAACAAGTCTCCTTCTGCTTCTTAAACTTACGCACAGAGCTTTCAACTGATTGCAACGTATTCCCATCGGCGGTGATATTTGACGCTCAGGGCGCTGCAGCCATCAGTGGCAGGTAAAGGCAATGTGAGCATCCCCTCCCATTGGATAACAGTACTCATTGTTGGGGAAATATTTTCCTAGGCCCATAACTTTGACCCTGTTTATCAGTTTTTACAATGAGCACCTGCAACCTTGGCTGCTGTGCTCTCAGTGTTTTGTCTCCCCAATCATTGTGAAAACATTACATTTTCTTTCGCTTTTCTGCCATGTTCAGGGTAAAAACCGCACCTAGCGCACCATAGCTGCTCCCGCAAGCTTGTCTCAGCGAAAAGTGAGCTCTGACCCCAGACAGGGTCCCTAGAAGCGCCAAGGGGGTCATTTATACCACATTTTGAAATATGTGTAACTAGTGCTGCGTACCGGTATGCCGAACCGGTACTGGACTTGTAAAAAGTTTCGGTTCAAGTCCGGTTAAAACCGGAACGTCGGGAACCGGTACTTGGACTCGCAAAAAAACTAGCACTTACATATATTCTGGTGTCTGTGGTTATTTAAACATTCCCTGATAAACGTTATTCAGCCTCAATAAATTAATGCTAATTCCAGTGTGCTCAGTGTACAACATCACATGTCATTTCACCTTCGATTCACGGTTTGAAAACGTAGCATTACGCCACATGCTAATGCTAACCGGAAGTGAAGAATTTTCAGAATAAAAGTATTAAGTTAATAGTGTGAACTTCCGGTTTTTTCAGAATAAAACTGATTTAAATTAAATAGTGTATTTTATTCAAAATTACGCCATATCAACATTGATTTTAATTTATAACAGTATGTATGTACATCACTATGTATGTAGTATGTACTGTATAATGTACACATGTAGAGTTGTAGAAAATACATGGTGTACAGACAGTACACTCTGACTGTACAGTCACTACAGTGTAGCCTATACTGTATAGTAGGTGTGTAACAGTGTAATGCGTATAGTCTACTCCAGTGGTTCCCAAACGGTGTGCCGCGGCACACTGGTGTGCCGTGAGGCAAGTCCGGGTGTGCCGTAGGATTTTGTGACAACCATACGTTATTATTGCAATATACAACTACACAAAAATAATTATTTTTTAATTTACTATATCAGTACTTTGTAGGTTTATATGTACGTAATCTGCGCGACTTGCGCGTCCACATCTCCACGTGCAGTGCTGCATAAACATGGCTGAGTCAGCGATAACTCTCGAGGGGTGGAGGTATGCCCATTATTTTGAGTTCGTCCGAAGAATAGACAGGAATGTGACGGTGAGGTGCAAACTGTGTCCAGGCGAGAATCTGTTATCCACTGCTGGAAACACCACGTCAAACCTCAACAAGCACCTGCGAAGAACACATGCTAAGGTGAAGCTACCGCACACGCTATTTGTTGTTTGTTTATATCACGTCTGTTCTTCTTCTCTGTCTTCCGGTTGTTGCCTGTTTTGAATGACAAATACACACTACCGCCGCCTGCTGGTAAGGAAAGTTATTGCCACTCACGCATGTGCAGTTCGTACGTGCTCGGCGAGTAAAGTAACGAGTTACTTTATGTAGATAGTAACGAAGTAGTGTAATATGTAATATATTAAAAATAATAATAATAACGACCCCATCTCTGGAGTTGGCGTTCTCTACTCTGATTTACATGAAGAACAACAGGAGGTCACGGCTCTGTTGAACAGGACTTGCGAGTGGCCCTCTCCTCAGTGCCACCAAGGATTACAAAATTCTGCACGCCCCGACAGGCACATGTATCTCACTAATTTGTAAGTCGGCAAAAATATTTACAATAGCACATGTTTCAATGCTGATTGCTGAAATGTTACATTTATCATTTGTAGTTCAGGACCATGGACAATGCAGCTTCCTTGCATTGACAGTTCTCTGTGCTGAATTTCTGCTGAGTTTCCTTTGCCTAATTTTTTATTTTGTGACCTGTCTGGTTTAAATGAGTGTGTTGCTGTTTGATGAAGCCTAATTTCATACAGTTTCAAATTAATTTCTGAAATATTTCGTTAATAAATATGTAATGAGTAATATAGTTTAGTAAATAATTATGCACATTTACAGATATTTTACATGATATGAGTGATAACACGTGTTATAAGGGCTATTTTGCACAATAGGTGTGCCTTGAGATTTGTACTTGTCCTTTGGTGTGCCTTGGGCACAACAAGTTTGGGAACCACTGGTCTACTCTACACTCTACCTTTCAGCAACGTTTTAGGGATTTAGGCTCAGTCAGCTCAGGGACTGTTTGGTTACTTTAGTTTGGTAAATGACATAAATGTTTGAACTTTGTAGTAGTTGACTGTAGTTGCTGTCATAAGTCATTTGTAGACTAAGTGGCAAAAAGTGTTTTTTTTACATTTGTACTTTGTAAAGAAATGTAGACACAAGTTGGAAGGGAGCACAATAAACCTGATGAGTTTGAATTTGAGTTGATTATGAGTTAATTTTCAATTGATAATTAGCTCACCATAAGTTCACTTTAGTTACTCACACAACTTGACACAAGCCATGGGTTCAGGTCCGGACTTATAAGTCCGAACCTGAACCTCTGGACTTGAGTCCGGACCTGAACCTGAATGTGAGTCCAGGTACGCAGCACTATGTGTAACCAGGGGCGGACTGGGACTAACATTCAGCCCTGGAAACTGACCCAGTCCGGCCACATGAAATATCAAATGTTAGAAATTCGCTGTTTATTATTTAAAGTTTTACGTCCGATTCGCTCCTTTTTTCCTCTCTGTACACAGCTCCAGTTTGGGCATTGGCCTGTCATCAGATTTCATTTTTAGTTGCTGCTGTAGCGGAAGTTTAGTACAATTATTTTTTGATGAAATTCTCCACCCTCCATAATTGCAATTGCTTCAGTTGCTTACTACTTTTTAAGGGTGGTGATGACAGTTACAGTATGAACTGAAGTTGATGTGATTTGATTGGATTGTGAGGCATGAGTGAGCCTCATCTGATTGGTCAATCCCTCAATTTATTTTCAACAAGGGAAGCCAATTTTGGCTAGCCTCCTCTCGCAACAGAGAGTGCAATACTGTTTCATCATAACATCTAGAGGGGCGCTGTTTCACTCTTTGTAAAATACTCAATGAGAATGGGGGAGAGATGGGCCGGCAGAATAATTACCGAAACTAAACAAAGTGTTTTTATTTATTTATTAATATTATAACTACAATCCAAAAAAACAGGGGAAGCCTGGCTTCCCTTGGCCTCCAGGAGAAAACGCCACTGAGTTCAAGGGATAATTCTCACCCACCTCTTGCTCTTGCTCTGCACTTGTATGTGCCAGTTGAGCTGGTTCTTCCACCAGCTCAACTCTCTGTCCCTCATCATGAACGCAGGAGGCTGGCTGTATATCTGAACTCGCGCCCTCATCATTCTCTTCATCATCTTGCACTTGTTCTAAGCTGCTGATGATAGTGCTTGTAGCAGCGCTGCTGCCAAAAAGGTCTGTCAATTTGTGACATTGATATGCTTCACCTGCGAGTGACTTCACCTTTTTCTCTCTTGCCTTCTCGGCCCCACCTTTTTCTTTTTGTTTTCTTTGATTTGTATCCATGTTTTTTCATTCTCCCTGTCTGCCGCGGCGTCTAATCCCTTCACTTCGTGTGGCCGGTCTTTTTTCTTCTTCGTGTGTGATTATTTGACAGATAAGAACCACACAACTGCATTAGCGCCCTCTGTCGGCCGTCAGTGCAATTGAAATGATGACGTTAAACTATTTTTTTTTTTTTAAAGGGCCGGCCGGCCGTCAACGGACCTTGACGGCCGGCCGTTCTGTGGTTCTCCAGATTCTACAGATGGCCAGTCCGCCCCTGTGTGTAACTCTGTTAACCTGTTAAGCCCAGTGCCCCCGTTGGCAGAAGCTAAAAACAACACTATTCACGAAACTGTGTCTCAGGGCTTCTTAACATTTAATAACCTATTAATGTGTCATACCCACTTAACGGGAAGAAACTCAGTTGCCTGACGATGTGAACAATTTTTAACGAAACAAAACACAAGTCTAAAACCGAGCCTCTGAATTAGCACTAAGCGAAAGGGTGCTAACGCACTTAGCACATAACTCACGCTAGCGATCTTTTATTACATTATTACATTGCATTTAGCTGACGATTTTATCCAAAGCGACTTACAATAAGTGCGTTCGACCAACAAAATACAAACTTGAAGAAAACAGAATCATATAAGTACATCAGGTTTCATAGAGCAAAAACATTTCAAGTGCTACTCAACTGGCTTTAGGTAAGCCAGTCCTTTATTAGTATATAAGTGCTTTGTTAATAGTTATATTGCTCGAAGTGGAGTCGAAAGAGATGAGTTTTCAGTCTGCGCCGGAAGGTGTGTAAGCTTTCTGCTGTCCTGATGTCAATGGGGAGCTCATTCCACCATTTTGGAGCCAGGATAGCAAACCCACGTGTTTTTGCTGATGGGGACTTGGGTCCCCTTCGCAGCGAGGGTGCAGCGAGCTGTTTGGTTGATGCAAAGCGGAGTGCACGTGCCGGGGTGTACGGTTTAACCATGTCCTGGATGTAGGAAGGGCCAGATCCATTCGCAGCATGGTACGCAAGTACCATTGT